TCAGAGATGTAAGACGAGGCTGCATGAGATCCCCAGGAGGCAGAGTGACAAAGGACAGTAGAAGTAGGGGACCAATATCCAGAGTGGGTCATTTGCCTTAGGACTAGAGAGCAGATTGGATTTCTTCTTTGGTTTTTGTCCTTTTTGTTTGTGGTTTTTTTTTTGTTTTTTTTTTTTTGTTTTTTTTTAAGCTGAGGATCAAACCCAGGGCCTTGCGCTTGCTAAGCAATCGCTCTACCACTGAGCTAAATCCCCAACCCCCTTTTTGTTTGTTTTTAATTGCATTTTACTTATTTAATTGTTGTGTGTGTCCAGGGTGTGTGTGTTTGTGGAGGTCAGAGGACAACCTTCGGAAGCCAGTTTTCTCCTAACATCAGGTGGGTCCTGGGAATAAAACTCCTGTTGTCGACCTTGGCTTTAGTCCCCCACCCAAAAGTCATTTTGCTGGCACCTGGTTTTGTTTTTCTTGTCCCGAGTTTTTGTTTGTTTGTTTTTGAGACAGGGTAGCCCAAGCTGGCTTTCTACTCACTATGGAACACAAAATGACCTTGAACTTTGGGTCCCTCTGCCTCTACCTTCTGCATAAGTGAGGACTATACATGTACGAAACCAAACCTGGTCTATTTAGTGGTGAGGCTCAAACTCAGGGCTTCATGGATACCAACAGAGTTAAGAGTTCTCATGTAGACTGGGCTAGCCTTGAGCTTCCTACCTAGCTGAGGATCACCCCAGACCTTGAGCTCCCGATTCTCCTATTGCTTCCATTTTCTGAGTTCCTCATCTTATAAAAGAAGCTTTGTAGTCAGGTGTAGTGGTGCCCACAGGTGGTCTCAGCACTCAGGAGACAGAGGCAGGAGAATCAGGCCTGCTTCAGCTACTTAATGAGTTTGAGGCCAGCATGAGTTCCCTGAGACCCCATGTCTTAAAAAGTAATAATCAGCCGGGCGGTGGTGGCGCACGCCTTTAAACCCAGCACTCGGGAGGCAGAGCCAGGCGGATCTCTATGAGTTCGAGGCCAGCCTGGGCTACCAAGTGAGTTCCAGGAAAGGCGCAAAGCTACACAGAGAAACCCTGTCTCGGAAAACAAAAAAAAAAAAAAAAAAGTAATAATCAAATTTAAGACCAGGTTTGTTATGCTGAAATTCACATATCATAAAATACATCCTTTTAAAGTATACAGTTTGGAGCTGTGCATGGTGGTGCACGCCTGTCATCCCAGCACTCGGGAGTTAGAGGCAAGAAGATCAGGAGTTCAAGGCCATCCTCAGTTATGTAGACACTTTGAGGCCAGCCTATGTGACATGAGACTCAAAAAAACACAATGAAAGGTTTTTTTGTGCATTCACAGTGATGCTAATGCACAATAAACGTTGAGAACATGTCCCTCAGCCCACAAGCAGCCATTTTCTCCCTCACCTCTCCATCTAACCCCCAGAACTGGGAAAACAAGAGTCCAGTTTCTCTACAGATTTGCCTCCTCTAGACATTTTGTCTGACAGAGCTGCACTGTGCAGGATCTTGTGGCTGGCTTTTTTTTTTTTTGAATTAAAAAAATTATGTGCATTAGTGTTTTGCTATGGAACTGTAGTTACAGACAGTTGTGAGCTGCCATGTGGGTACTGGGAATTGAACCCGGGTCCTCTGGAAGAGCAGTCAGTGCTTTTAACTGCTGAGCCATCTATCTCTTTAGCCCCATGACTGGCTTTTTAACACAGCACAATGACTTCAAGATCCATTCATGAAATGGCCTTCATTCTTTTTTTCATGGATGGGTAATATTCTTGTTTACTTGTTTGCTTGTTTGTTTGTTTGTTTGTTTTTCAAGACAGGGTTTCTCTGTGTAGTCCTGGCTGTCCTGGAACTTGCTCTGTAGACCAGGCTGGCCTTGAACTCAGGGATCCATCTACTTCTGCCTCCCAAGTGCTGGGATTAAAGGTGTGCACCACCACTGTAGAAGTAAAAAACTGTGGTGTTTTGTTTTGTTTTGTTTTATCCATTCGGTAGATAGACTTTCTGTTGTTTCTAACCTCTGGCTGTTATAAACATTTATGTATGAATTTTCGTGTGGATATTTTTCAAAAATTTCTCTTGGGTATGTAGTCAGTTCTGTGCATTTAAGGGTTCAGCCAACGTAGGTAGAAGTGTGGGGGCTAGGGAGCTGCCTCTGTCCTGAGAGTGGAGATGCCATTCCTCCTTGTTATTACCTAAACAATACAGCACAGCAGCAATTTACATTCCATTTACATTGCACTAGGTGCCACAAGACAATTTACAGTGTACAGAAGTGGGGGTGCTGAGGAAGGAGGGCTGCCATGAGTTCAAGACCAGCCTGTACTGCCGAGTGAGACCTTGTATCAAAATAGAAACAAATTAACTAAACTTAATTTTTAAATTTAAATTTATTTGTATTTATTTTATGTGCATTGGTATCTTGTCTACACGTATGTCTGTGAGGGTATTGGATTTCCTGGAACGTAAGTCACAGACAGCTGTGAGCTGCCATGTGGCTGTTGGGAATTGAACCCAGGTCCTCTAGAAGAGCAGTCAGTGCTCTTAACCACTGAGCCATCTCTCCAGCCTCTAATTTAAAAATTTTAAAGTATATGAGAAAGCTCAGAGCCCTGGGTTCAATATAAAACAGCACATTTGGATGTGTACACACAGACACACACACACACACACACATGCACACACACATATGTTTGGGAAGATGCTTGCAGGTTCTAGGCAAATGTACTATTTTTTTTTATTTTGTTTTGTTTTTTGTTTTTCGAGACAGGGTTTCTCTGTGTAGCTTTGTGCCTTTCCTGGATCTCACTCTGTAGACCAGGCTGGCTTCGATCCACCTGGCTCTGCCTCCCTAGTGCTGGGATTAAAGGCATGTGCCACCACCCCCCGGGCTTAAATGTACTATTTTTTTATATATAGAACTTGAGGACCTATGGAAATTTGTATCTTTGTGATGTTTTAAACTTCTTTTTTCTTTTTTGAGACAGGGTTTCTCTGTGTAGCCTGGCTGTCCTGGAACTTGCTCTGTAGACCAGGCTGGCCTTGAACTCACAGAGATCTGCCTGCCTCTGCCTCCCAGTGCTGGGTTTAAAGGCATGCGCCCCCACACCCAGTATTTTAAATATTTTATTATTACTATTTTTGTTTATTTTACATGTATGAGTGTTTTGGCTACATATATGTCTTCATGCCATATGCATGCCTGATGCCCTCAGAGGCCAGAAGAGGATGTTGTATTCCCTAGAACTTGAGTTATAGACGGTAGTGAGCTGCCATGTGGGTGCTGAGAATCAAACCCAGGTCTTCTGGAAGAGCAGCCAGTGCTATAAACTGCTGAGTCATTTCTCTGGCATCCTTCTTCAGGACTTTTTTGGTTTGTTTTGGAGTTTTGTTTTTAGAGATTTGTTTGTTTGTTTGTTTGTTTGTTTAGTGTGTGTGTATACAAAGTTTTGTATATGGGTATGCAAACAGTATGTGCATGCAGGTGCTCAAGGAGCCCAGAGGTGTCAGGTTCCCATGAACTGGAGTTACAGGAGTTTATGAACCACCCAATGTGGATGCTGGGAACTGAACATCAGTCCCCTGTAAGAGCAGCATGCACTCTCAACCACAGAGCCATCTCTCCAGACCTTAGAGTTTGTTTTTTTGTTTGAGAGAGGATTTTGGTTTGTAGTCCAAGCTGGCCTTGAATTCCTGGCCTTCCTCCCTTGCCTCCTTCTGACTGCTCTATGCTGGGCTCTGGACAATATTTCTCCCTAATAAAGTGTTCAAACCTTAATGCCTTGGACTGAGCTCTTGATGGTGCTGATTATAAAGGGTCATGGTCACGTCCCTTTTAATTTTCCTATGTATGGATGGGGTAGTAAGAAACAAGCACCCAGAAGATTCCCCTGGGATCCATTCTTGCTTCTTTCCATTACCTTAGGGAAGGAGCAATGAGTCACGCCCTCTATAGTTGAGACAGTCACCCCCCACTGACCATGTGTCTTCCCTTCTGTTTCTCTTCCCAGCAGGGAGAGGAGCCTAGCCAAGTGGAAGGGTCAGTCCCAACTGAGCAGAGTCATCAAAGGCCAATACTGGCTCCTGGAGATGTAACTCAGTGGTAGAGTGCTTGGCTAGATTGCAGAAGGCCCTGGATTCTACCTCAGCATTGCAAATCAAACCAAGCCCACAAAAATTAAAGCCAGTGCTGTCTGGTGTCATAGTGAAGAGTCATCAGCCACCAAGTTCAGAGTGTCCCTTCTGTGTGTAGAAGAACTCAGAGACCGCAGGGAAGGGCTGACAGAAGCATGGCCGTGATGTGTGAGCAGGGTACAGCTGCAGTGGTAATCTGCCTGGAGCCTGCTTGTTCTCCCCAGGGCATAAATCTCACCTTCAAATGACAAGGAAGAACTAGGAAGCAGCTGCGGCAAGTTCGTGACAGCTGGCCGGGATGCTTTGGTCATCTGTTATCCAGTGCTTAGGCATCTGGTGTCTACCAGAACCTAGAAGTAAACCTGCAGATTATTTCTGCGAAGGAAGGCAAGAAGCAGTTTGAAGAGAGCAAGACTTAGCTCCAAATAAATGCTAGGACCAGGACACTGGGTGTGGTGGTGCTGCCTCCTGAGTGTCTGTGCATGGTTAATCCTAGTACTCAGGAGGCAGAGGCAGGGGCAGGTGGATCTCCGTGAGTTCCGGGACAGCCAGGGCTGCATAGAGAGATCTTGTCTCTCAAAAAAGCAAGTGAGCAATCAAACAACAACAATATAAAAATAAAAACAAAACTGAAACAAACTAGGATTTCAGGCTGGAGAGAGATGGCCTAGTAGTGAAGAGCACTGGATGTTCCTCCAGAGGACCCAGGTTCAAGTCCCACCACCCACATAGCAGGTCACAATCAACTGTAATTCCAGTTTCAGGGGACCCAACACCTTTTTCTGGCTTCCTTAGGCACCCAGGCATGCAAATGGTACACAGACATACATTCAAGTGAAACACCCATACACACAAGATAATTTTTTAGAGGTTTATTTATACATGAGCACTTTGTCTGCATGTACACTTGCACACCAGAAGAGGACATTGGATTCCATTATAGATGGTTGTGAGCCACCATGTGGTTCTGGGACTTGAACTCCTGACCACTAGAAGAACAGAATAGCCAGTGCTCTTAATTGCTGAACCATCTCTCCAGTCCCTAAACAAAAACAAAAAAAAACCAAAAAACCCAAACAAACAAACAAACGAAAACAACCTAGGACCTTCTACTGTGCTACTGTGAGGCACATCCCAGCTCTACTTGGCATCCTTGGCATCCACTGTAGAAAGCCAGCCCCTCATGGGACCCGCAAGGTCTCTAGTGTCAGGTGGCAGAGCTTGTACCACATGCACCAGGTGCAGAGTTAGTTTTCTCTTGCTCAGGGCTTTGTATAGAGCTGGGAGCACTTTTTTTTTTTTTTTTTTGACAGAGTCCCATGTATCCCATGATAGCCCTGCATTAACTGCGTAGTGAAGGGCGACCTTGAACTTCTGATCCTCCTGCCACCACATCATGAGTGACGCTATTACAGGCATGTGCCACTTTGCCTGGTTTATGTTGTGCTAGTGGCTTTGTGGATGCTAGGCAAACATTCCGCCATCAGAGCTATATGCCTGGCTCCAGAACTTGGAGCTTTTAGATCACCTAGAAAATGGGTTGGAACACTGAAATCAATGTAACCCGCAAATCCCTGGAGATTGGCAAAGCACTGTGCCTTTTTGGCGGTGGGAGATGGAAGGTACATTGTCATACACTTTGCAGAGGAAAAAAACCCCACATGTTCATAATACCAGATCCCAGAGTCCTTATTGAGATGTCAGGCCTTGGTATTTTCATGACACCTCTGTCACATTTAGGGTGCTTGTTCATGTCTGTTCTCTGGCCCCCTGCAGCATGACATCATCAGTATAAAGTAGAATAGTGTGGCATCTTGGGAAACAATGAAGTGTTAGGAGTCTGAGATGTGAAGAGCTGTCAGAAGAGCATGTCAGCATCCCATGACAAGATGGAGCAGGCGATCTGATGACCCTGATGGATGAGAGTAGTTTCTGATCTTTTCTGCTTCCTAGAATAGAGAAAAGCGTTTGCCAGCTCAGTAAATGCATATCAGGTGTCAGGGATGGAATTTGTTTTCTCTATCAATGGGACCACATCAGAAATAGCAGCTGCAACTGAAGTCACCACATAATTAGGTTTATGAAAATCCACTGCCATTCTCCAAGACCCAGCTGCCATCTTCACTAGCCAGGGTAAAGAATGAAGTGGGAATTTAGTTAAATCATCACCCCAGAGTCTTTCAAAGCCATGATTGTGGGTATTTTGTTTTTTAGGGGTAGATTATTGGCTTTTGAAAAAAAAAAAGATTTATTTTATGTGTACGGGTGTTTTGCCTGCATGTGTGTATGCATTACACATAGGCAGAGCCCACAGAGGCCAGAAAAGGGTGTTTGTTAGGTCCCCTAGAACTGGAGTTACAGATGGTCGTTAACTGCTATGCGGGTGCCGGGAATCAAACCTGGGTCCCCTGAAAGAACAACCAGTACCCTTAACCACTAAGCCATCTCTCCAGTTTCCCTCCCCGTTTTGAGAATGGGTCTCATGGTGCCCAGACTGACCTAGAACTCACTATGCTGAAACTCACTTTGCATTTCTGATCCTCCTGCCTCAACCTCCACAGTGCTAGGATAAGAGATGGATCTCATCAATGGCTAATTTATGCTGGGGATTGAACTCAGGGCTTTGTGTATGCCACACAAAAACTCGTCCTCAGCCCCTTGTGGTTTTTGTGGTTTTTCTTGTTATTGCTGGAGACAGGGTCTTACTTCATAGCCCAAACGGACCCAGAACTCACTATGTAGCCCAGATTGGCCGTGAACTCAAGGCGATCCTCCTGCCTCGGCCTCCCTTTGGTGCTGGGATTACAGGCATGAGACACCGTAGCAGCTTCATAATATTATCAATGTCTTCAATTCCTTGGAGGAAGTCAGATTTACTTTGCCAATCAATCAGGAATTTCCATTTGGCTTTGCTCATCACCAGATCGCTTACTCTGCCAAAATGAGAGCTAATGTAGTAATTCTGCCAGTGGCTGGGACATCTTTTCCAGGCATGCAACTAGAGGCATTGAAATAAATCGGTTTGGAGAGCCACAGGGCCTGCTGGAAAGCCATTCCAGTCAAGTCCATTGATTAGTTGATCCATCTTAACCCTGCTCTGACAGTGGGTCCCAGTGGGGTCCTGATCAACATAAATTCCTATTAACCAAGAGCCATTGCCTGCTTATCACCATAAGGTCCAATACTAAGTTTCTGCTGCATATAGTCAGCCTGGCAGATGGACTTAGACCCCAGGAGAAGGACTGAGTCAGGTTCACAGGTCATGCCGGTGTCATTGCGACCTCTGTGTGTGTGCAAGCATGAGCTAGACATCAAACCCAGGGCCTCAATGCATGCTAGGTAAGGGTCCCACTAAGCTACGTTCCCAGATCCATTATCCTTTCCTGAGAGTATCCAGGCTCCATTTCTTCCAGGGCTCTGGAGTAGGGACTGATTCATGCTCAGAAACTGGGAGACAGAGTGTCCTAGCAATCATCTTGGAGAAGGTCAGACTCTTGTGTACCAGACCTGAAGGGATTGATTGACGATTGATTGATTGATTGGTTGATTGATTGATCTCAGTGCTGGAGATGGACCCTAGGATCCTGTGCACACTGGGCAATTGCTCTACCCCTGAACTGAACCCCCAGCCCCTGCAGTTTTTCACGTTGGCAAATCAAGCACAAACAAAGACGGCAGGCAGGCTGCTCATCTCATTTGTTCTAGGGACCCTGTGCTGAACTGGGCACATCATTCTCGGCAGCTGAGACTGTCCCAATAACTGCCCCAGCCCTGCCTACCATAAAAACCCGCTTACCTCCCTCCCCCAAAGAATGCTGGACTTTAGCCTACCACCCCGAAATCTACACTCCCTATTAAATGGGGGAAGCCATTCCAACTCCCACCAGCAACTTTCATTAAGGGCTGATCAAGGGTGCTAGCATTTCCTCTTCTTCCAAGGGACTTCTCAAGCCTTACTTTTCCAGGAGGTCAATTTTTAATATGAGGGAGCTGTGTCTATGTTGGGGGTTAATTTTATTTTGAAAGCAACGGGAAGCCACTAGCCTGTTTTCAGGAGTAGGATAGATGAGGTTTACATTTGCACAGAACTGCTCCTGCCATGCAGCAGAGAATATATTAGATGAGGCCAGGTAGGAGGGAGGGAGGATAAATGATCCTCAGAGGCAGTGATGCAAATGGGCCTTGGAAACATGCAGACAGCAGCTGGGTCTTGGGAAGGACAGAGTGGGGGACATCCACAAGAGGGATGCATGGAAGCCCTAGGGTGCCTTGGGCAGGGCAGATAAATAGGTGATATGTGGATGTTCAGGGAAAAAGAGTTTATTGCTATAAATAGGATTGATTTTTTTGTTTTGCCTACATGTATGTCTGTGTGAGGGTGTTGGATCCCTTGGAACTGGACAGTGGTGAGCTGCCATGCGGGTGCTGGGAATTAAAACTGGGTCCTCTGGAAGAGCAGCCAGTGCTCCCAATGCTGAGCCATCTCCACCAGACTCCATCTTCTTAATGATTTTCCTGGGGCTGAAGAACAGACAGGTTAAGAGCCAGAATGATTGGAGTAGGTCAAAGTTCTGTTCTTTGGAGGAGACTGGAGGCAAAGTGGCCTTATCCAGACATTTGGATGATGCCAATTATAAAGCTCTAACTCCAAACTCCTTGTCTGTGGAAGCGGTTTAGACTCTCTGGCCTGCAGCACGATTGGTGAGCAGGCAAGAACGCAAATCTAGGGACATCTGTGAGAAGATGCTTCACGCTGCCCCTAAAATTACACTCGGCAAAGCCAGGAACACCCTGTTACCTTTGCACATTCACCCAAACCTTGGAGCACGGTCATCAGCCCTTTGTGTCCATGAACAAGGTGGAACATAAGCTGCTGGCCCTGACTCTGCTAAACAATAGCGGGACTGAGGCTTGGAGGCAGAGCTCCACACTGTGCTGGTGAAGTCTCTTCAGCTGTCCTTCCTCTCTCGATGCATCAAGCCTCCCGCATCTTCCCAGTGTCTTAGTGTTCCTCCAGAGTCTTCCAAGTGAGTGGAAGGAGCCATAATCTTTAAGAATTAGATGAGGTTTTAACTCATCTGAGCCTTTCTACAGCAAAAAATGACGACTTTGCCATTGGGATTTCACTAAGAAAAAGGACTTGTTGCTCAGTTACAGGGAGTAGGTTCAGCTCTCTGGCTCATGTCCCTTCTGGTTCCGACTCTGATTTGTTTTGCTTAAGCAGTAATATTGGCAAGTTACAATTGCATACATTTACAGCTACAAAGTAACTTTATGTCATGTATAGTCTTCGATGTGGAATTGTTACATCAAGCTAATTACCCATGGCCTCAGAGGCACTCTGATTGTGACATTGTATTCTTTGACCAGTATCTCCCCAGCCCTCAGCCTCAGGTAACCATCACACTATGGTCGGTTCTATAAACCTCATATGGTTGCTACATGTAATGAGGTTCACCTGTGTTGTGACAGTTTCCCTGCTCATAAAGGCTGAGTTGCTTTGCAGTGTGTTCATATGCATTACAGTTATAATATATATATATATATATATATACACACACACATACATACATAATATACACATACATGTGTGTATACATATGTTGTATATCTGTATATATTGTGAGTGTATATATCTGTATGTATATTGTATATGTATGTATATATCTGATATATATTGTGGATGGACACTCTCCATATCTTGCTCATTCTGATTAGTGCAGCAATAAACCCAGGGAGCGGATTTCTCTTTGAGATATGTCACTTTGCCCTTGGATATAAATCCAGAAGTGGGGCTGCTGGGTCATATGATAATTCTCTATTTTGTTTATCAAGGAATGTTGCCTCGGCTTTTCAGCTGGGACTCAAGCTCGTTTTGGAGTAGATCTCAGCCATGGACAGGATACGGCAGCTTAGGCACCCAGGCATTTCTATCTGACCTTGGACAGCTTTTCTCTGGAGATTTTGCTCAATTGTCAGCTTTCTTGTCAAGGCTGCATCGCTGTCTACGGCCCTCGTCCTATGACTTCCCTTCCTCTGTTCCCAGGTACCCTGTTGACCCTGCTCTCCATCTCAGCCTCTACCCTGAGCAAACCCATGCTTGTGGCACCCCACTTCTTCGTCTGTCACACAAGGATAGTAGCACTCTCTTGTTTCAAGGGTTAATAATAAAACTTGCCTGTCTCAGGCCGGGCGGTGGTGGCGCACGCCTTTAAACCCAGCACTCGGGAGGCAGAGCCAGGCGGATCTCTGTGAGTTCGAGGCCAGCCTGGGCTACCAAGTGAGTTCCAGGAAAGGCGCAAAGCTACACAGAGAAACCCTGTCTCAAAAAACAAAAAAACAAAAACAAAAACACACACACACACACACACACACACACAAAAAAAAAGAAAAAACTTGCCTGTCTCTTCCTGTGTCTGGGCACTAAATTTCTTATTTATTTGTTTATGTGCATTGGTGTTTTGCCATGAGTGTCAGGTCCCCCGGAACTGGAATTACAGACAGTTATGCGCTGCCACGTGGGTCCTGGGAACTGAACTTGGGACCTCGGAAAGAGCAGTCAGTGCTCCTAATCACTGAGCCATCTCTCCAGCCCCTCATTTGTTTATTTTTGAGGCAAGGTCTCCCATATCTCAGTTTGGTCTCAAATGGACTGTGCAGTTAAGGGTGACCTTGAACTTTTGATTCTCCTGTCTCCGTTTCCCAAATGCTGGGACCACAGTGGTAACAGCACTACTCCCAGTAGATGCTCTATTGGGAAGCGAACCTAGAGCTTCCTGAATGCCAGGCAAGTAAGTACTCTCCCGACTGAGCTACATCCCTAGCCCATTGGGTTAATTTTCTATCTGCTCCTTAGAATCCGCTTTCTATCCTCATCTACTTTGCCCTGGGCCCCAGCAGGATGATTTTCGTACTGCATCAACAGGGAAAGATCAGAAGGCGGTCAGTC